TCAAAAACATTTAATGCAACTAAACCTTTTACGTGTACTTTTGAAACGACAAAATAGAATAATAGACAGTCTGTTGTCAGGGAAGCTAAGTGCTCGTTCTATAATGTAGATTCAATTGGACAAGAAGACTCAATAGTTACTCTTAAAAACATGATTTACATTCTAACCAATACATTTTTAACTTTAATAATGCACATTACTGTACGCAATATGTAAGAAGAACAATTTGGTAAAAACCGGGGCGCTACTATTTCCATAAAAGAGGTCAAAACCCAGTCTTAGTTTTCCTGGAAGCAATATTAATAGCCTGCTATTCTTGTATTTTCAAGAAATCTATTTTCGTCCTGACCCTAGTCAAACACTGAAAGATTACGTACAGAAGGCCTCTTATCCTCTTTATCGCCTGATAAAGGTCATAGTGAGCAGAGGAGTTGCGATTGGAGAATAGATGCGTTGGATCATACAATCGGATTGATTACTGTAACACCAGAAGAGATACGAGGTCATTGCCAGCCTTTTTGCAGATTAGGGTTTTGGAGATTTAGGGATTGGGGGAGACTCGCGGCGAAACACAACTATATGGTTGTTTTTTTAAGGTCGCGGGGTCAATTCGGTTGAGCCCTTCATTTCGACACAAAACAAGATTTAACTTTAGTCCAGGTTTAAACCATTGAGTTGGGTTTTGAAATTTGAATCTTATTGTCATCTACCTTCAATTCGAAATACAAAAACTGTCTCAATGGTTTAGTCCTAGACTAAAGTTAAATCTTGTTTTGTAATAAGGGGCTTATTGACTAAAAACCCCCCCGTTCCTTCTCCTGCTCTGGGCCGAAGCCGCGGTGACTCATTGCGCTTACCCTGGCTATATCAAAGAGGCTAGGTCATTAATAAAATGGCTATATTAATGGGATATAACAGAAAACGACAAACAACGATAAGTTCTTTATTAAACAGGCTAGACCGCTAAAAGTTTCATTTTTATGCGAATATTGTGCACATCTATAATTGACACTCACACCCGGTTTCCGAAAGGCCGATCAATGTTAAAATCAATTTAATCTCTTGTCAAGTCATCTGATTGGTTGACTGAATTATCAACAACCAATCAGATGACTTGACAAGAGATTAGTTAATATTAGCGTTGGCAAGCCTTTCAGAAACCGGGTGTAACACTAGAATAAGACCTATAAAATGTAAAATAACCATATTTGTGTTTGTGTTGTTAATGTGCCTTAAATAAATAAATAAAATGGCTATACATATCAATGAGATAAGACTGCAAACATTCAAATTAAATATCATAGGTTGGGAACGACAAAGAAAGACGTTGGCAAAACCGGGTGTAAAATTATGTCAGTAATATTACCATGTAGGTATTTATATAAGTACGTAGAAAGTTGTCATTTCGTGTTACAAGTGTAGGTCTTGTTATTGATTTAGTTGATGTAAGGCTTCTGTCTCCTACGGGCCAACAATGGAACGTGGAAGTTCTGACTTAGGCGTGATCATTCCAAACTACGTAGTTAGTAGTTAGATTAACCTTTCGTATGTTTTAAACGTGGATCCACGCGAGATACAGTGTATTTTATATTGTGTCTCATAAATCGACATTCAACGGGTTAAACCAAGACAAGAGGATTTTACTCGCCAATTTATAAAGCTTAAAATTACTTTTGGAAAGTAACTATCGTGAGACATCTAATCTAATCTAATCTAATCTATCTAAATCTATCTTACCTAATGTATAAAACTCAAAGGTGACTGATATAGTGATCTATCAACGCACAGCCCAAACCACTGGACGGATCGGACTGAAATTTGGCATGCAGGTAGATGTTATGACGTAGACATCCGCTAAGAAAGGATTTTGATTAATTTTACCCCCAAGGGGATAAAAAAGGGGATGAAAGTTTGTATGAAGCTTTGTCAGTTTTAAACCGATCGGGCTGAAACCTTGCATGCATAAAGCTACTATAATGCCTACGTTATGCGTACCTATGTTATACGGGATGCCTACATCCCCTAAGAATTTTGATAAATTGCACCTCTAAGGAGATAAAACAGGGGATAAAAGTTTGTATAAATCTTCTTATAAATCTTTAGTTTCAGCTCAATCAGCTGAAATTAAAGATTGAAGAAGATGAGATAAACAATATGATTGATAAACAAAAGTAAAGCCGCATAAACTATATCTAATTAATAATAATATTTCTTAACGCGTGCGAAGCCGCGGGCAAAAGCTAGTTTTCAATAAATTTAAAATTTCTTATTTATCTACCGGTCAAAGAAATTAAGTTAAAAATAAAACACACTTCTCAATTCTCATTATACCTACGTTTTTATCATTAAGAGAACTATACAAGCAAAATAATATCAATCTTGTATTAAGTACTTTGAATCATTGGTTATTTTTGTGAAGTATCGACAATCTTCAGTCATTATTTGTGGGGTAAAAAGGAGCATCAGGTTTTTACTGACTAAAAAAACATCCCGTTTCTTCTGCTCCGGGCCGAAGCCACGGTACCTTAATGCGGTAAACCCATATAACATACGTACCTAGGTATAAAAGCTACTTTTAAAATATGCGAAAAAACTAAAAGATATTTATGGGAATTTTCTGGAGGATTACACTTTCTACTAAATTTCACATACCCGATCTGATTTTCAGGTTGGATCTATGGACAAACATTACTTATAACCGATACTGTTACGTAATTATTGTTTGATTGGTACATCATATAGGTATTCTATTTCTGACGCCTAAATACTTGAGACATGAAATATAGGAAAAACATCTAAGGACTTACTGATAAAAATGTAATCTTTTAATAAAAAAAAATTGAATAAACTGCAAAGAACTGGATGCACAAATACTCCATTCCCAATCCCCAATCAAAAAAGGCTGGCAGCGCACACACAATTCTTCGATGTTTCGTAGCGGCGTAGATTGCCTAACATCAGACAGCCTGTCTTCTCGATGGCCGACCTATACTATCCTATTGAATAAAAACTATTTGAATTACGATCCGTAAATGTGCATAGTGCTGACTGTAAAGTATAAACAAAGGTTAGGAACTATGAGTAACTAATCTACGAAGGTAACTATGAGTAACTGCCTCGACGTTAAGCATTCATTCGTTTTGTAAGAACAAACACTGCTTCTAAAAGGTTTCATTTTCATATATGTGATGATTGATGATTTAAGTAAGAAAATTACCTATATTACCTACCTGGTAATATAGGTAATTTTCTTACTTAAATTATTTTTAACTAGCTACTCTCACGCGGTTTCACCCGTTGCTCAGTGCCTACAGATAGCAGCGTGATTATTTATATCCTATAGCCTTCCTCGATAAATGGACTAACAGACACAAAAAGAATTGTTCGAATTCGAACCAGTAGTTCCGGAGATTAGCGCGTTGAAACAAACGAACAAGTTCCAAAATTTTATAATAATATTAATATGTAAATAGTATAGACAATAACAAACACATTATAAAAATAACTATCGGTACCCTCAAGTAGTTCAGGCGTGATTAAATTATGAATAAAGGAAATTAGGATTTATTTGTATCCTGCATACAGTCTACGTGCTACGCAAAGTGACGTCATTTAGCCTTCAGCACCTATTTATGTATAACTACGCTTACATGGCACTTTAACATTTTATATTATAAATAGGTACTACTTAGCTACTCTTACACAGTTTAAATCGCTGCTTGGCTCCTATTAGTTGTAGCGTATGTGTTAATAGTTATAAATGTATAAATCTATTAGCCAAGAAAAATATTTTTTAATTCGAAACAGTAATTTCGGAGATTAACATGTTCAAGCAAACAATCTTCAACTTCTTTTCAGCTGTATAATACTCGTATTAAATAAATATAGTATTTTAAATAATAAGAATAGAATAGATTTAGCTAAAGTAGAACTTTCAATTCAATTGAATAAGAAATCAGAATTGAAATTATGTCTATTATTAATAACTTACTCTTTTATTAAATATTTTTTCGTTCGTAGGTGGTTAAAACCCAAGAAACAGCATTTTATCCCTATACTACCGTCGAAAACTTTGATGAACGAATTGTGTTTAAAATATAATTAATTTAAAATTAAAAAGCATGACTATTACATAATGTAATCAAAATATAGAATACCTAACTTCATTTGAAATATTTGAATGAGCTATGGAAGTAAGCGCGTCATAAAAATCAATATTGTTATCAGAAACACAACATCTATTCAGTACATTTCTTTGTTCTATCGAAATAGAAAAAAGTCGTTGTACCTAAATAGAAAAACAATGGAATGAATAGTTTGTTGCGTTGAAGTCTTTTACGGGGGACCTACGTCATCTATGGAGTCGCCATTATTACTATATTTATGTTCATATCCCATCAAATAAAATAATAATAAACAAAGAATATTACAACATTCAAATCACCTCTATAATAAGACCAGTAATAAAATAAGAAGTTACGTAACACAACAAAATAATCGATTAAAATAAATGCAACCTAAAAGTTAATGCATTAAGGTTTCAATTTGTAATAAACAAACATTTAACTTCTATGTTGTTAAAATAAAGAGAAGACGAGTAATTTTACAACCCCTGAGGGTCGTAAAAAGTTTTACGAATGCATTTCACGTAGCGATGGCAGTTTCCATTTGGTACAACTAACGCCATCTATGCGTGCGAAATTAAAACTTATCTGTTCATAAACATTGTTTATAATTGAGAACAGCGCCATCTAGCGTAATATGAGTGCAACAATTCAACACAAATCCTACGAAATTCGTTTTATAGCTTTTATTTTCATAATTAAAGTTATTTACATCTGATTTACCTACATTTTGGTTACTTTGTAGAATTTTCATACTGTGTACTTTATGCACAAGCTTTGAATTGATGTTAAATTGATTTTACGCCAGTTTTTCATAACAGAATTAAGATGTTACCGATGTTTTTGTAAAATTAGTTGTTATTTGACTAAACTTACCTTGAAATGCTGGTGGGCTGCTTGCTCCTCTGCCTCGTACTTATGCTTTATGTTCTCTATACGCATTTGCTTCAGAATGCCAGCCACCTCGATCCTGTTACAAGAGATGAGACATTTATTTCAGTTCTATTTTCTCTCTAGAACCATATCTAGACCCAGTTGCACAGTAAAACATACTATTATTTCATAACGACGTATACTATTTTAAAAAATAGTAGCTTAGGTAATGAATAAAATATATCTATCGTACAACATTATATTTTTATTGTTATAAATGTGTCAAACAACGAGTTCCTTAACATTTGAAAACTAGAATCCTATGACGAGGCGAGATGATCGTGCGTGGCGAACTACTGAACTTATATTATTATAATCTAATCACACATTCTTTAAATAATTTTATTTAAAGAATGTGTGAGGCTGAAACACTTTAATTTTTCTGCCATTTTGTTTGAAAAGAGCAGAAATATATACTAAAATGGCATGATTATATTCTAATTCTATAAGTACTAGGTATATTTTATCATTTAAAAATATGGGCTGGCTGATCCGTATTAAAATAATTAAAAAAAAATCTGATTACTTAAACTCAACATCATAATAATCAGCAGCCTTTAGCTGCCCACTGCTGGGCAAGAAGGCCTCATACGAAGATACTTTAATCACCATGCTTGCTCTAGTGATGATTCGAATTTGTAATTACCTACTAATTAGCAATTATAAGTCCAGGTTTCCTCATAAGGTGTTCCTTCACCATTTATCTGTAGTTCCTAAAAAGTCTTTAAAAATACACGTTTAACTCGAAAAAGTCACATTGGTACTTGCCAGGCTTCAAACCCGCATCCTCATGCATGACTACCTCCAGGGTACTTACCAGGAAGATATGCTGAAACCTTTTCTTAGTTTAACCTTTTCAAAATTAGTAATGACTTTGTTTCAAAAGTAATATATTTAATTACTCTAAGTATAACAGTTAAAATACTACAACGATTGCAATATTGTAGATTTTTATATTATTGTATTTTTTTATGATTTGTGATCAAGTTTCTGTTACCTTGATTGATACATTTCATATGGGACATATCTGGGCTAACAACAAATTAAATAGACACTGTCACACAGTCATTCAGTTCAGTTAGTCTATTCATTATTATTAGCTACTAACTAACTAGCTACTGTCCCAAAGTTACACCAGCTGCTCGGCTCCTACAATTCGTAGCGTGATGTTTTATAGCCTTCCTCGATAAATGGACTAACAAACGCAAAAATAATTGTTTGATTCGAAGCAGTAGTTCCGGAGATTAGCGCGTCGTTACGTTAGTCAATTTTAATACTTATTTCGAAATGCCAAAATTTGTTAAGTAACGAGTAGCATGTTGTGACGTAGTAAGTTGATTGTATCAAATATACTTCAAATCTTATTTAAAGGATCGCAAAGCGAGAGTAGTAGTAAGTAGTAAAAATTTTATTATTTTTAATGTTTAAATTCTTAATCAAGTTTTTTACTTGGACAATCTAAAAACAAGTAGTAAGTAGTAAAAATTTTATTATTTTTAATGTTTAAATTCTTAATCAAGTTTTTTACTTGGACAATCTAAAAACAAGTAGTAAGTAGTAAAAATTTTATTATTTTTAATGTTTAAATTCTTAATCAAGTTTTTTACTTGGACAATCTAAAAACAAGTAGTAAGTAGTAAAAATTTTATTATTTTTAATGTTTAAATTCTTAATCAAGTTTTTTACTTGGACAATCTAAAAACAAGTAGTAAGTAGTAAAAATTTTATTATTTTTAATGTTTAAATTCTTAATCAAGTTTTTTACTTGGACAATCTAAAAACAAGTAGTAAGTAGTAAAAATTTTATTATTTTTAATGTTTAAATTCTTAATCAAGTTTTTTACTTGGACAATCTAAAAACAAGTAGTAAGTAGTAAAAATTTTATTATTTTTAATGTTTAAATTCTTAATCAAGTTTTTTACTTGAACAATCTAAAAACAATGTTGTTTAATTTAAGAGCATACACTAACTGTTATTCGTCATATTCTTTAGTCTCCCTGTATGTATGTTAGTTGGTAAGCCTTGGTTGATAAGCGAAAAATCATACCCGTAACATATTGATGTATCATAAAACAATGCTGATCATCTTCTTACCAAATCAAGAAATAAAAATTACCTTATCCTCATATTCTCCTGCAGTCTCCTCAAGGGTCCAAGATACTCTTGCGAACGACCTCCACGGACCTCAGCAAGCTGGTGGTCTACCTGCTTCACTCTCTCGCAGTACAGCTGCTCGCGGAGCACCGAGAACTGACGTTCCAAGTTCGCTGAAAACATTTGAAGAAATAATTGTTAAAACGAAAAATATTATAAGGTCATAAAGATCAAATTTCACAACTTTCATTCCATCAAGAAATCTGCAAATCCCTAATCCCCAAAAGGTTGGTAATGCACTTGTAACTCCTCTATTGTTGCTGGTGTCTATGGGCGGCTCTGATTGCTTTCCATTGGGTAATCAGATGGCTTGTTTGCCGACATAATAACATACAAAAAGAGGAGTCTGAGGAGTACCTAACTGACTTGGACCATTTATAACTGTGCCAAGTAATATGGAGTGAATCTATATCCATGTAAATATGTAATTATGTAATGTATGGTACATTGGCCATAGCCAAATTAGACTATATTAAATTACATACTTTGTAGCATTTGAAACAACTTTGTCAATATATCTTGCTTATAACAACACTAGCATAAAATAAATATTTTCCTGTTCTTAATATTTATTTTTATTGTATGGTATTATTTTGTAATAAAGTTCAAAATCATTTGTTATCCTAGTGTTAACCTTAGAGTCAATCTGACTCTGAATAAATGTAACACTAGTAGTAACTACTTACTCTTATATCAAATTCATAATAACTTTGGTGTGATTAAGTTTATGTTAGCCAAACAAACAAATAGCTTTACATATATTTTCAAAATTAAAGGTGTGTTTACGAAATAGCAAGAAAAAGCCTTTTACCATATATTATAAATTATTGATAAACATATATATCAGATAGTTCATACAAATAACATTCTAAATTCAAATTTATGTGGTACATTATTACTACTCAGACAGTGCTGAACAGGACCATATGGAGATACTGGGAATCAGGCACTGTTAATGATTAAAATTGAGACATGGTATTTAACTTTAGAATGTATTTTCTTTAAAGCTGAAAGCTATAGAAAATACAACACAAACTCAGTTGAGCTACAGAAAATACCACAGCAAGTAAGAACTGAAGTACCTCCACACTACACATGGTATTATTTAGTAATACAATCCAAGATGCCTTAAAATACTTTTTTCTAAGGATTAACAGAAAAATGCCACACTTTGACATATACCATGGTATTTATGACTCACAGAACCTACCCCTTCAAATTTTCTATTTAATGTTTTTATTATTCTGTTGATTTACATTGTAAATATCAAGGATTTTTAATGATTGGATAGCAAATAATATTAACAGGTCTTGTTCCACAAACACTCTAGGTGATTTCACTAAAACAAGATGAAATAGGTTGAAAGTCAATTTTAAGACTAATTATAACACCAAGAACACTTTTATATTACTGTATTGTTGTCATCAGTGAGTAAACTATACAGTACAAAAAGATTTGATCTGGATAAAGCAGCGAATAAAAATACACAATAATAAACAATTCCGCCAAAAACATCAATGTTTTGTAAACATAACCTCAAAAGCATAACAATTAATGCTAAGAGGCTAAGGGTACTAACCTAGGTTATCCAAGCATTCGTTTCTCCTCCTCTCGCACTCACTCTCGTCCATCTCCGAGGAGTCATCGGAGTCAGGCTCGTCAGCTTCTTCAGCACTGGAATCCCTGTCAGGACCTCTAGATGACCCATTTGAACGCTCAGTATCTCCTCCAGACATGTCTCCATCACCATCACTGTCACCCTCCACTTTCATTGACGGCATCTTCTCAAATACGTTAAAATTTAATATAATATTGAGGTACTGATAGCAATTTAATACAGCTTGTTGATTTTCGCTCCCTTTAGAAAGTAGAACGTCAATGTCGTCAGTCGTCAATACAATATATGACAGTTAACTAAAATGTCAAAGTGGCAACGTCAATTGTGGAGTTGCCAGCGACACGATGAAATATTCCTACTATTTTCCTCCAAAAATGCTGTAATGTTATTTTTATTTTACCTAAATAAAATAAAAGTAGAATAAGAATTTTTAACGAACTATTTTTATGGCATTGTGCCGAAAATGAACCCAGACAGAACCCAATGGTAAGTCAACGGCGCCGCCCATGGACATGTAACACCAAACAAATAAATTACCTACAAGTGGGCTGCCAGCCTTAAATGATTACTTTGCCAGCCTTAGGATCCAGGATTTGAGATTTTTATAGACTTACTACATCAATATTCGTCTATAAGAACCTGTTGCTTTGTAAGAAACATTAATAAAATTATCACGGGAAACACCGTTCCAGGCGGGATATGTTTTTTTACAATTTTTTGATTTTTAGGCATTGCTAAGAAGAAATTTTAGGTATGTGTACGTTTAAAAAGCACTATCTCCTGGATATTGGAATACAGAATACAGGGAATTGTGTTTTTTTAATAAGTTATTTATTTAATGTTGCCCTAGATTAGGATTTTCTCTATTCATTTGTGTTGATAAACATATAATTTCAAATAATCATAATTACACATCAACATCATAAATATCCCACATCATCATCATCGTCCTATAAGTTTCCACCGCTAAGAAAGTGCCGTTACTTACATGGAGAAGGTTTGAGCATTATGCGCCAGATGGATTTCAAACTAAAAAATGATTTGCTTTACCATAGGTATGTCTATGTCAGTGGTGTCTAAATAATTATAAAAAGTACAATTTAATTTTCACCACTGACATATTTATATTTTTACATATTTATTTTTCATTAAGACATATTTATATTTTATTTATATGTCATATAGGTAAGTACTTACCTAATCCGGAAAAAACTCACATTGGTATGTACTTGCCAGGTTTCAAACCTGCACATGAGGTGAATGAGCGTCTCATGTGTACGAGACGCTTATCCTTCGAGCCACAATGAAGACGAAGAAGACGAAATATCCCACAGCTTAGAAAAATTATCTCACACGCAGAAGGTATGCGCATTAAATCACCACGCTTATACCTATCGTGGTAATTCGAGACACAATTAGAGCGCGAATGCCGACATTCGCTAGTGGTTTGATTAATTAGGGCGATTTTGGAATACCAACTGTTCATCATATATAATATATCATCTCTAATTAGTAATACTACAAGTGTGGGAGAGCTAAGCTTCGGCACGAATGGGTCGGCTCGACCGGAGTGATACCCTGCCTAACAGAGTACCGCCGTGAAACAACCCACATAGTTGTGTTTCGCCGTGTGAGTGAGGTTACCGGAGGCCCAATCCCTTCCCTTCCCCTATCCCTTCCCGATCCTTATATCCGCAACCCCTATCCCCAAAAGGCCGGCAACGCACTCGTAACTCCTTTGGTCTTGCGGGTATCGGGTGGCGCCGATTGCTTATCATCAGGTAATCCGTCTGCTCGTTTGCCGACTTATATCATAAAAATACTAATCACTTTAGCTGTGTTAGCTGACCGTCTATCAGTTGTGTTAAATTATCTTCGAAAGGTCAAAAATATAAGTAAAGTTGGAAAAAGTCACATTAGGTATTACTTGCCATATTTCACTCGCACTCTCATTATATTCAAAAAAATTTGTCTAAACATCATTACGACACTTTTAATTATACTTACCGTATGTGTGATCAAAACACAACGCATACAAACAAAACAAATAGAATGCGAGTATTAACCGATTTATCATCCATGTATTTTACCTATAGGTACCTAGCGATATTTAAATTTCTATCGAAGATTCAGACGAGAATTTGAAAAACCCACATAAGAAATACCATGCAGTATTGTTTGCCGGGTTGTTTGCTTCATGAGATAATAAAACAAACACTTTATCTGATATTAAATTTAATAGGTATTCTATTATTTACAATAAATTGTTCACTATTAACATGTTATTTATTTATATCTTTATCATTTCCTCGGTTGTTAATAAATTATATACATGGCTATTTATAAATAAGATAATATCAATACTGTGAAGTTCGACAAATCCACAATTTCTTATTATGAGCATGAAAAATATTTGGATCATTGTTCTTTGATGGGAATTGTAATGTCTAAGTACACTCCAAACATTGTTTGTGCTCATAACAGTTTAACAATAACTTAAAAATCACACAGAATTATATAAAAAGAAAAACAAATTATAGTTTACAAGTTTTAGCACCTCCAAAGGTTACAACTGATTTATATTTTATTCAAATACGAAATAACTTATTCAACTAACGCAATTTCACGATGAATAAAAAACTTTATATGACACAATGTCTCAAAATCAGTACACATATAACACAATCGAAAATGGTAAAGAAGAATACTTACATCATTCATATAAAATAACATAATATTAAAATTGTGATTACATTAAAATGAATATTAAATCCACAGTTACTCGTGGCCTTATATATTTGGCACTAAATTATTTGGATGCACATGTCTATCTACATAGATATACAAATATTAACGGAACTAATTAATCAAGATATTTAGAATATTGTTTTCGTACAATAATTTGTATTGCAATGAGCTATATCGCTGTTATATTCGTAACCAGATAATATTAATACTACCTATTATAAGTTACAAATTAATCTATCTTGTCTTTCAAATTTTGTACCTTTGTTTTAGCTGCAACTTGATAAAAAACCGTACTGCTTATAGGTATCTCTAGTCTTTCAGTAGGACTTGGTAGTAACACGTCTTCCGTCAGACATTACCCTGACCTTATGTTATTATTGTCTTGTAAGTACATCTTGAAGCGACATCGTTTAAGTAATGCAGTAAATCGTAGCACTAAATACAAGCCACACTTATTTCCTCCGTCGCATAGAAATAAGACAGGCTTCAAGTTTTATGTTACAATATACGCCCGTGTTCCCACGTGAATGTGTAAATTATTAATATTTTCTGGTTACACTTCGATAAGTACCATTTAAGCGTATTAAACACACCCAGTTCGAGAATATTCACTCTAATATTATTTTATCTATAGGTAGGTATACGTTAAACGGGTAAATTTGCCAAAAAGAATAATTTATTGGCCGAAAATATTAATTGAAATAGGTATACTATAAAAACAGATATGTCGTTGTACAGTAGGTAAATTGATTATACGGATATAAAATATTGCTTTTCTACTCACTATAATAGCAGTGTTAATTTTAATTGGTTTTATTGTAACTATTAACGTCCTACCATCGAGTCGTTTCTTTATAGAGAAATCCACAAGAAGACTACAGGAGAAATTTTTCAAAAAATTCTATTTTTTAATATCTACGTACCGTATAAATTTGGCATTTTAGAGAAATATTTTATTGTTTTATCATCGTATTTATTAACTATCTATTTTATTCATTGCAAACTATAAATTCCATTGCATTATTGTTGGTGTAGTATTTTAGAATTTCTTTTAACAATCTTAGTAATTTTATATGCTTAACATTATTTATTCGGACTGGCAATACGCGCGCTTTACTTTTATGAATCACAAATATTTTTGACGATGATTAAGTATTTAGAATTGAAAATTAAGTACAACAAGTAAAAAATAGTAAGCAGGACAGCAAAGAAATAATAAAACGTGTTATATTGGACAGTCTTCACAATAATATAATAATTCTTTATAATATTAACACTAAGTAAGTACTAAAGGAATGTATTCTATAATCACTTTGGAATGTTTATAGATTTGTAGAAGAAAGTAAATTCTTAATACTTAATTTAAACCCAGCATTTGAAACTGACGTAGAAGCTATAATTGTAAATACTTATTTAAAATATACAAGTAAATATAAAGATTCCAAATACACGGACCTCTTTAAATTATAATATCAAGCAATAAAATATATAAACATGCCTTTATTCAAAGATGGGAATTTTAATGTTTAATATTTATTTATTGGCGCTTAAATACACTCATAATTTAAGGTTCAAAAGTTTGGGGCGTGCGTGGCCGAGTCAGTCAGGACAAAACTTTGAAAATATTATTTCGAATTTTATATATAAATGTCTAATCTACCGAAGGATTTAATGACTGACTCTCGGGGTCATTTATTATAATAACTATTTCTAAATATTATTAAAATAAGAAACAAAGATAACACTAACCTTCCTTCGTTTCTAATTTTAACAAACAATTACTTAGAAGTTTAAAATGACGTAACATCCACGAATAAGGCAGTATATTTTGTTAAAAATTTAATAAACCAATCTCTCTATGGACTTTATAAGATAAACTCGCTCTTTTATTGTAGATAAACACTATAAGTATGTAAATTATGCACAAAACATATCATTAACATCAGATAGAGATTTATTGCCAATATTTATTTAATTCATAACGAAGAGTTTATCGGTAATACGACAAAAAACGTACGAATTTCGTGGTATATCGAATTTAATTAATAAATATTATTTTATTTCTCTCATTTGATTTCATAACACCACCTCCACACTCGTCTTCATAAGTAATCGCACCTCACTTGTAACACTTATCGTACTTTTGAAATAAATTCGTAACTAAACTAAGTGATGTCTGAAACGATTTAAATACACTCGTTCGGTAAATACGACTCGGTACTGAAATCGAGTCATAGTAACGTGAAACATCTCGGGTTATCGTTTTTATTTAGATATTCAATTTCAACTAAACAAGACTTCGGGAACACATTTCTAAATTCTATATTTCCATCTACATCGTTACGGGCTGAGAACGTGTCCGTCTCTCTACAAGCCTCTCTATCACTACCGAGTGCTCTCATATCCGATTTCCATTTGAATTTCTTTTTGACGTCGCAAACGTCGAGGAAGTAGACGAGCAAATGTAAAACCATTTGCGTGATGATGTCAAACATCAGGAGCAGCGGAGTCAGGGCGGAGGGGCGCGGCAGTGCTGGGGGCGCGAGGGGCGCGCGGGGCGCGGGGGGCGCGGGCGCGGGGCGCGGACGGGCCGCGGGCGGCGTCGGTCGCTAGGTGTGCTTGAGCCAGTGCGCCGGCACCCACTGCGGCTCGCGCTCCAGGCTGTTGATCTCGTTCAGCAGTTGTTGGTAGGCACGTTGGGTGTCGTTGTTTATGATTATCATATCGAACAGGTGGCCCCATCGCAGTTCCATATCCCGTGCGGTTGCGATTATTTCTTTTAATTCTTCTTCCTGTAAAAACAAAAGAAAAATATTAACAATTTTTTCCCTGCATATACACAACCAACATTGAGCGCTATAAAAAACTTCTTACAATATTTATTCATCAAATATTATTAATCTGATAATCTAAAACGAGGTTCAGTTTATTGGCACGTTACCTTGAAAGCTTCTCCATTTCTGATCTTCTTCTGCCTAAGTTTCTCGAGGCTGGGAGGTGCTACGAACACGGTGTAAGGCTTCAGATCGGAATTCCGGAGGATCTTCAGCGACTGAGGATGTAAGTTCAGTACGCAGATCTTTCCTGAATTCACTACTTCACGGATCGCCTCTAGCGACGTACCTGGACAGAGAAACAATAGCTTAATATCTATATAGTATACAGATGTTAGATGCTTAGAAAAGTATGTAGAACAGTCGAGCCTAAAACGAAAGAGGGCAAAAAACAACAAAAGACGCACAACCTATAAAAGAATTGATTGTATTCAAACTTATCCTACTTGCTACACAAGTGGCGCTCTGCGGTTTTTGGCACCAAAGACTTGAATTTCTATATAATTATGTGTGGTTGGAATTTTAATTCTTACCGTAATACGCCTTCTCGTATTCTCCGTGCTCGACAAACTTTCTGTTGAGGATATCAGCCTCGAACTGCGTGCGCGAAATAAAGTGGTAGTCCTGGCCAGGTACCTCGTGATCTTTGCGCGGACGTGACGTGTCTGCACAATAAACAAAAAATCAGTAAAGATTGTGTAAAACAACTAGGTATATAGATAATAGGAAAAATCTACTTTTCTACCATTTTTTTGCGTTGGCAATACTGCCGGTGACGTATTTCGTTTATCGAGAAATAAGGCTTTTGGCTATAAGTAGTAAGTTATTAACTATTTTTATTCCTCTTATTTGAAGCAGGCTTCCTTGCATGATGAAAAACTATCATAAATTGCTTTAAATTTTTATGAATCAAATATGCAATATTTAATTGGGAAACAGACAATTTGATGGGCAACTCATATTAAGTTTAGTTTCTTTACTTACGTGGCACAGCAGCTGCGAATCGTGAGCTGTCCTCCATGAGCCTCTGCCTGAGTTCGTGGCGCCCGATGTTTGGAGGCCCGATGAGGACAATGGGCCGTTTGTGTGACGCCCGAGGATAATACAGCGCGACCTCTTCATACGTCAGGATCTCCTCTTGCTCGTATTCTGGAAGATTTAACCTTACTAATCTCACTTATAGGGCTATATTTTTAAAGGATTTGGATGGGCCATTTGTGTCTAATGCACTACCTAGCGTTGCTATCGGACTGATGTATAATTTTTGTCAAACGTGTCTGGTTATATAGATGAAATTAATACTCTAATTTTGGACTAATTGGTTTGATTGAAGTGATTGGACGCTAGATTCTAAATAAAGTGTCTAACTTAAGTATCGATCTGAATTTAGGAACAGGAACACTACGGTGTCGAAGATCTTTTTTGAACAATCTTGGGAAGAAAGAAGTGGAAGTCGAATTAAAAAAAAATATTTGTCATTCATTATAGGTACATGGTAGATTTAGGTAAACAAGAAATGTTGGTAAAATAAATCTTCATCCCTAAAAGTAATTCCTTGTATCTAACGATGGAGTCTGCTTTGCAATCAACTCGAGTAGAGGTCCATTACTGATAAATAAAATATGTTAGGTACTTTAAAGGAAAATAATTGAGTTTCCATGCAACTCACCATCCCCACCAGACGTAGAATACAGCGGGTATCCAGCCTCACTCGTGGCTTTCTTGCCCTTCTTCTTCCGTGGCGGTTTCTTCGCACAGAGTAGTGTGCCGCCCTTACGTGGCTTATCTCTGGCCGCTACTTCGCCTGCTAACGTCAGCTTCATTGATTCTCGCCTGGAATTTTAGGGAGACATTAATTGCCAAATGTTTAATGTCTTTTCTGATAATGGGCTAAGTAAGGATCTTAATTTCGAGTGTGGACTCAAACTGGTTTAAAAAAGCAATACTGGGATATATTGCCTTACGTTTACTGTTATCTTTTATTAGTCCTTCAACTATCGCTATTTTGACTCTCCAAAAAGTTTTATCAGTGTGGAACACTTACTGGTGTTGGAACGCCTGGCTAGGAATGAGTCCGGCGAGGGTCTGGTCCTCCTCTCCCTCACGGAATGCCTGCCACCAGTTCGGGTCCTCGCGGCTGATCACGTGAAGAACATCGCCTTTTTGGAAACTTATACCTGAAATATGAAAACGGCTGTCAGTTTAGGTCGTAGTATGATAATAAAATGGATTTTCTACACATTAAAAAGCCTGTTGTGAATAGAAAGAACCATGTGACACATAGTCGTAATACATATACGATTTTCAAGCAAATTGTGAGCAGGAAAAGGAACGGGATGGCTTTGAAGTAGTCAATAAGATTCTGATGTTTCCTTTCGCCGCGCTCTAGGCGGAGATGTCATTGAATGATTTTCTCCCGTAAAACAAAATAGGAGTTCCTATTTTGTTTGCTAAGAGTTCGATGGCTCTGGTTTGGGATGGGTTTTTTTTTCATGAGTAAGGTCAGCAAACGAGCAGACGGATTACCTAATGGTAAGCAATCAGCACCGCCCATGGACATGGCAACAGCAGAGGAGTTACGAGAGCGTTGCCAATCTTTTGGGAATTAGGGACTTCGAGATTTAGGGATTGGAGGAGGGGAAGGATTGGGGCTCCGCTAACCTCACTTACACGGCGAAACACAACGGTATGGTTGTCTAACGCTGGTTTTCTTAGAGCCTGTGATATCACTCTAGTCGAGCCGACCCATTCGTGCCGAAGCATGGCTTTCCCACACTTCAAAACAGGTTAGAACAATGTAATAAATATTATAATTACCGAGCTCCCGGCAAGGGATATAGACGTCGTCCTCGGGGTCGTAGTCGAAATGGGCGCGCACGTGCAGCACGCGGTGGGAGGAGGGGGCGCGCGCGGCGGCGCGGCGCGGCGCCAGCACGACGCACAGCGTGCCCGACAGCGCGCCCAGCACCTGGCACACCTCGTGCACTGACTTGCCGCGCATCGCCACGCCGTTCACCTCCAGGAGCTGCACAACGATAATTTCTTTTTATTGTATACGTCAGAAAACGAGCATGCGTATTACCTGATGGTAAGCACCTAAAGTAAAACCAAAGGAGTTATGAGTGGGTTGCCGGCCTTTTACGGACAAGGGCTTCATATATTTAAGGATTCGGAAAGGATCCGGATACCTAAGTTACACAGTGAAACACAAGGCTATGATTGTTTCACGCCGGTTTCTGTGAGGATTAGGTATAACTGTGAGTTTTTGTGCAAAAGCGTGGTCAGGTGGACCATTTGCATTGTCAATCAGAAAAAGAAGGGATCCAAGAAGGGAATGGTGAAGTGACGGACGCAAAACAGACGATTATTATTAAAAGGCTCGTTCTAGATAGTAAGACGATGATATTAATGATGATAAATTTGAAAGCAATCACAATATTGATGTAAATAAGATTGCAAATAGGAACTAAATAATAGAAGTTTACCTATGAAATTGCCGTTTTGCATGAAAAAAATTAAACGATTTTTTTTATTTGAAATGCGATGAAAATGTAACACTAATCAATAAATAAATGACTACTTTTGGAAAAAGAATTCCATGTTTTTAAAACAAAATTATTAAACTTAGCCTAAGAAAAACTATTTTGATTTGAAATGGCCAGTATGGCAATTTAATAGGTAGGTAAAGACCTATTAATAGATAAATTGTAAATAAGAACGCCAAGGTTAAAAGGTCGAAACTATCATTCCGAAATCTTACCTCATCTCCTTCATGTAACAGTCCTGACTTCTCCGCCGCTCCACCCCTGACTATCCTTCCGATTATTACAGCTTCCCCTTCATTTCTTACAGTAGCACCTGTTCAAATAAATTGAAAACATTAACATTATTAAATTTTTATGTGTCTCGTTTACTTTTAGCTAACTGGGTAGGTATCCTATGTCAAAAATAAATAATTGCAATGAATTATTAAAATAACGAATCAGAAACGCAATATTACCAAAAATAATTATGCTGTGGGGCGTAAAAAATAACGTTATAATTTGCGATTTTATACAAAAATAATAGAAAAGTATAGTTTTTATCGTTCCAATTAAAGCATTGAATTTTCTTAGTTAGAAATGATCGGATTGTGTTTTTTCCTTACCAAGTGGTTCGTTAGTCTTCTCGATTTTAATAATTTTAATATGTTCGCTGGGGTCGTCGGGTGAATGTGCCGTCAATGCCTTGTCGTTCTCACCCTTGTGATTGAAGTTGTTACCAGTCTGAAAAGGACCAATTATATTCAATTAACTTATTGTCTGACTAAATATTGGTGTGATACTGTTCTCACATAATAGCATCAACTTAATTATGGAACAAAGAATTTGATTGTAGAACTGATTGAAAAAGGCTAACCATGGAGTTTCTCGCTCATTCTTCTCCATTAGAATCTTTGGAACGAGCAAATAGCTTCACTAGGAGATTAACACATTCTGGTGGTTGGTGGTTAGGGATAACGATTATCATAGTTTGTATAACCCTATCTGACTAATGTTGAGAAAATCAATATCTACATTAATGAATGGTTTATTTTTAGTATTGTTAGATAAGAAGAAAGAGTATTAGCCACATATTTGGATAGATTAAAATAAGCTGGTCTAATTAAATCTTGCTATATTTATCGATATTATTTTTTCTAAATATCTTGAAAGAGTGAACACCCTTGTCTTAATGACGTTTGCTTTGCAATGCTGCTCTTCTTAAGACTATGAGGCCTTATGTGGCTTGAAACAAGTTCAGTAACCTTGTCGAACTGCTAACCTGTTAAGTTGAGCCCAAGTAATGTCATTGTTGTATTCTTTCTTACCTTATGCCTCTTGCCCCTATTAAAGCAGGCGGGGTCCAGCAGCGCAGCCGCCTGGTCGTGTGCCTGTATCAGGCTCTCGAGCTCGAGCCCGCCCAGGATCGACAGCAGCTCCGCCGCCAGCGCCGACGATTCACTGCCTGTTGATGTATGCGCTCCTAGTACGTCCATGCACTGTTGGGAGAAAAAATTACACCTGAGTTAGAATTTGAAAACATTTTTCATACTTATGCTTGATCGGTTTAGTTGGGACATGGAGGTGTCCATGTTGTAAATATGGACACGTGATATACACACAAGCTAAAATGTTATGATTACAGAACTGTAGCGGAGTGTGTGCTAAAGTGTGTCTTTCAAAGAGAACTAACTATCCAGAAAATTAACGCAGCAAGCACCCAAAAACGGGAGCTTTGCTACTTTTTACCAATTAAGTTGTTTATATACATTTTTTACTTCATAGAAATGTAGATATATAATATACAGAGATCTAGGACATGGATGGCGACAAATAATTGTAACTTACGTCTTTCAACCTATCCGTAGCACGATGCGTATGAGGCGGGGCTAGGCCAGGCCTCTTGTGCCTGACTGCGGTGAGCACAGCCGACCGGGTGGCCAGGGCTGTCCGTAGCGCAGGGCACAGTAACGCGCCCGCCGCGCCCGCCACCCGCGCCGCCAACGCCGACTCCCCGCTGGCTCCCAGCGCTTTCTGCACGCGAGTGAGTGCTGCACAAACTTCTTGGTAGTCTGTAAAAAAAACATAGAAAGAATTTAGTTTATTGAAGGTAGTCTCAAACTCAATTAACAATCAAGGAGTTGGAATTCCACAAGGTGTTATCTTGGGGCCAAACGAGCATGAGGTCCGAACACTGGCATAAAGCCACCCCTTATCCATTTGTCAGGCAAACCCGACAAAGAAGCATATGGTAGCCATTTTTTGTCTGCTATTACCTTTCTATCTTATACATTATATTTTCGTTCTTACATAATGTCAATAAAAGACATGTACTTGCAAACGCTATTAGACTTTTATAGGTACTTCAACAATTGCTATGCTCGCAATCGAATATGACATTTATAACAAACATATTAAAGTTCAATTAAAATGCCACGTTATGGAAGTAGGCACTTTTAGATTAAAATAACACTTATAATTGAAATTGTTGCTCATTAATATTGTAAGAAGTATGTATGTGCCTTTGAATATCGTTGATTGGTATTTGTGAGGAAATTTATGATATCTTATCGCATCTACGTCACTTGGAATCTAGTATTTAAATCGAGTCTTTTCTTGTAACAAGTTGTATGTATATTTATGTATATGTCAATGACTAAAGTACATAAGCATGAAGGCACGGGTGGATTGGTACAAACATCAACATCCCGATCATCATTTTTACAGTCCATCACAGGGCGTAGGATTTTATAATCAGACCGAATAAATTACAAAAATAACGGACGTCGGCGATCCGTCTAATATGAGAGTCACAGCGCTCGCTATCCACCATAATGCGCCAGCATAGCTGTCCATTTGACGTTCCGCCAGAGTACGATTAATTGCACCCTCGCCCGATGAATTGTGTTTAACTGATAAAACCTCCTTCAACAATTAATTTAAATAATCGATCAAGTCAAGTAATACCTATCTGAACAAACTTAGGTATATCACCAAACTTTGATGAAACATTTTCTTCGCAAACCTTTACAATTATTTTTCGGCTATGTCAACTAATTTAGCGGAGATACATAACGTTTTGAAAACTTATTTGTAGATACTCGAATACCTAGTGCCAGTTTTTTATAAGTTAACGCGACCAAAACGTAACCACGTTAAGCTCTGCGATTGGTTGGTTTAACTAAGAGCAGCCAATCAAAGCGCTGAACGTCATAAACTTGTTGATCGAGTAATAGACAAAGACTGGCACCTATTACTTGAGTTATCGCATAATGAACCTTATGAACTTGAAAACTTACCCTATGAGAAGTAATACAAGCGCGAAACACTTGATATTAACCAAGTTTAAGCCTTTGCCATCCCCTCAACCCGTTTAAGGTCAATCAAGGGATTATTTTCCACGAAAACCTTTAATATAGAGGATACAGTGTCTTTGTATCTTTGGGATCCTACCCGACCAGGTAGTAAAGGATCTTTGGAGTGATATTCTCAGTAACTAATACGATTTGCTAAGGAAGGAAATGTTTTTATGGATGCCTAAGTGCCTTATAGAGGTTAATAAGGTTATAAGAGTTAGCTACTGTTTGTAGGAATAGGAATATATAAATAGATATGAGAATTATTAGTTTGCCTATAGATATGTGTATGAATTTCTTCCAACTGTTGACAATTTTAGAATAATAAGATCATATTGTCGCTAACTTATAGCAAGTATAAATGTGGTGGTAGCCCGGAGGTTAAGGAACCCGCTTCTCATGCATGAGGATGTGGGTTCGAAACCTGGCAAATACCAATGTGAGTTTTTCCGAGTTATATGTACTTTCTTTGATTATTTAGACACCACTGACATACGGTGAAGGTCAACATCGTGAGGAAACCTAGACTCATAATTTCTAATTTTAAGTTTGAAATCGCCAACACGAATTGAGCAAGCGTGTTGATTAAAGCTCTAACCTTCTCCGTGCGAGAAGAGGCCTTTGCTCAGCAGTAGGCACTTATAGGCTGATGATGGAGTATAAAAGTAACATCATGTCATTTCCCTAAGATAAAACTATGTACCATCTAAACTTATTCATTAACTAGCTACTCCCGCGCGTTTCCACTCGCTGTTCGGCCCCATTTGATTATAGCGTGATGTTTTATAGCCTATAGCACTCGGGAACATTGTAGCTATCAATTAGTTAAAGAAATTTGGAAATACGACCAGCAGTTCTAAATATTACCCCTATATACAAACTTACAATTAATTTTTCCTCTTCATAATATTAGTATAGATCAAGGGATTTCGTATGAAACAGCAAGTTGTGACGTCATATCTATGTTGCGTCGAATAATATGCTTATTTCTTTTTAATAATATGAAAACTAAGGAGACACTAAATCAGTAAATGAAAGTGTGATTATTTTTGAGTATTTTAGTGGTTTGAAAGTTTGAATTACTTTTTTAGACTAAGGCAATTACCCAATCTCGCAAATTACGATTAAGTAGGTAATTCAATCTTAGAATCAATCCCGATACATAGCCCCTAGCAAAAAAGAACAAAACACTAAACGATCTATAAAGAATAAACGACTCTCCGTAAAAGCAAAAGTATCTTAATTTATACCCTCTCACTTGTACATAAAACCTTAATTCCTTTATCAGTTCATCAGCAGAACAAGCCAAGTTTAGCTGGACATTATATTTTTATCAGTCATCTGTGTGTCCCAGTTCAGTAATGCCCTGTGGTAAGCGAACTAGTGATATGTGAACTGGAATTAATGCGACCCCTAGTTTACCGAGAAAAGTGAAAATATGGGACAACGGGACAGCGGTGGAAAACTAGAAATATAGCTCAACCGATTCTATCGACGGTACCTATGCGCTGTACTAGCGATGCAGGATTTTTATACCATCGTTTTCACAATGCACGTTTTTCGAACGAATTTTCTATTTCGTTTCAACGTGTACCTAGGTACATTTTTGTTTTTTTTCTCTATGTGTACGTTCACAGATTGTTTTTTATTTCTTCGATAAATGTATGGTACATTTTATGTAGAAATGCAGTTATTCTTATGTAGCTTGATTATTATTTCATTTCACTTATGTCTTTTTTTAATAATTTGAAGAAGAATTAAAAAAGTAAATAAATTAAAATCCTACTAAATCGTAACTAACAATATGTACAGTATTTTAACTTCAGGTAACACTGTCTACTTAAAAATTTTAAATTCTTGAAATGGTAGGTACAAAAGAGCAATTTTACAAGCATCATCGGGTATACAAGTATTCATAAAATATAAATATTTATAATATTGTTAAAATTATTCTTGTAACAGATTGTTAAGTGGAGATACGTTGCCGTAAATAAATATTCATAGAAATCCATGAATATATGTATCCAGCTTTTTAACTCGGGATAGGTAAGCCATTTTCACATAACGGAATAATAGTTCGATTTTCGAAAAGCGAAGTATTGGTTGGAAACTAAAAAAAAAAAACATTTTATTTGGCTTTCTCTTTGAATGGGCAGTCGAATTGAATGAATTGGATATTTAGTGATGGGACATTCCAAACTGAATCAAAGTTATTTTTTCAAATTAGAATTAAATAATTAATACATTTAAAAGACTGACATATTATTACGTAGGTAGATCTAAGTGTAAGCAAAATGAAGGAATAATAATTTTCGGCTTGATTTAATGAATAGATAATTTTCTTTGCAGTCGTTTTCTAGAATACGTAAAAATTACAAAAATGTAAACTAGAGAAACACGGATTAAACACGCATGCACTAAAGCTATAAGCCTATATAACTTTATCCAATCAACAAATGCAATGAAGTAACAAAATTAATCTTTTTAAACTAATAATTTTTCAATCTGCAAATGTTTTGGTAAGCTACAGAAAACACATTTCCCCAGCATCGCTTTAAAAATCCAAAATCTAATACGTTTTCATGCGAAGTAATTTCAGGCATCGCTGAATTATTTGCTTCACTGAAATTTTTGCTGATCCACGAGAAAAATTACCGCTATCGGACGTGATATGAAAATAAGATAGGTTCCGAGTTCTACTGAAATTCTGTTTCATGTGAATTGGATCCGGATTTAAACGTGGAGATCTTCAAACATGTTGAAGTATGCTGAAGCAAAACCAATCCTACTATATCCTACTATCCTACCATCCCACTATATCCTACAATCCTGCTATATCCTACTATAATATTACAAATGTGAAACTTTGTGTTAATGTATGGATCTATGTTTGTTATTCTTTCACACAAAAACGGCTGAGCCGATTTGGTTGAAATTTAGTATGTAGATGCTTTTTATCTACATACCACGCGGGCGAAGTCGTGGGCGTTAGCTTGTATGTGATAAAGCACATCTGGGTCTCTTATTTGTCTTTTTGTCAGACTTTTTGAAAGAGATCGATAGCTATTCAGTTTTTTATATGATTTGATGAGATGCTGGTATGCTTCCAAACCTACGTCTCGTGGGGACAAACAGAAATCACTATACACTTCTCTCATACCAAACTTCTTTAGTCTCCATTTTAATTCATGTCCCTAAGATGTAATAGCAGAAGAAATAAGAAAGATCTTAGTTCAAGTTAAATATAAGGTGTAAGGAGTTAAACTATCACCTAATCGATTTCAGGCCTTATACTTGTAGAAATGTAACTCATTAACAGTTGACAAACTTACCAACAACAGCATAGAGCTGCGTGGAGTCATCACTGATGTCATCTTCATAAGCATCGTTGACGAAAGCAGTGCCGGACGATGGGGGGTTCGATTCCAAGGCCTGAAGCTTGTGGGAACCTCGCAAGGAGTTACGGAGGAACTCGTTCTGTGCTGCGATCCTCTCCTCAGCCTCTTTACGTTGTCGGAGCTGTTCCTGTTGAAGAAATAAGGGTGATGGTAAGTTAATTGTTCGTAAAAGTGATTTTAAATGTGGATCATCCAGGTATCAAATAAAGTTAACCATCGAAAATCATGACATATGCAAAATATTATATTGGATATTTGTTAGCGGAAAATAATGGCTCAGAATAAAATCTCCATTTCGCTCAACCTAGGGCAGGAAAGCTCATTTAGCGATTAACCTCCACAAAAAAGCCACAAGTTATTTTCACATATTAATTTAAAGTTACTAAGACGTAAGTAGACATAAGTTGATATACTAATAAAATCGTGCCAATTCTTATACTGTAATACTTCTCATGGGTTATTGCAATGCTATCGACAATTCCCATGGTCACTGAATGTTCTGCGACCGTTCCCACGGTAACGCCACCACCAGACGTAATGTTATCATTCCTTCATTACTTTCTCTATGATTAATCTCGTGTCTTAGACGAGTAGCTGTATAACCTATGTTGCGAGAATTACGTCTAGGTTGTTTAGCCACTTTTTATTACATATTAATTATAGTAGTAACCATTGGCTCCAATTTCAGACTACACTCTACTAAGATCTTCCATAGATTGCATAGTTCATGATATTGTACCTACTCCTAGTTCCTTATTTATTATTTTTAATTTATTAACCAGCTACTTCTGTGCGTGTGATATTCTATCATATTATTATAGTCTCTAAAAATCTTCAATAAATGGACTATCTAACACAAAATGCAATTCGAACCAGTAGTGTCGGAGATAAGCGCGAAAAACGAACAAATACAACTTTTTAGCTTTATAATCTTAATATGGATTGTTAGAAGGTACTGTTTATTGAGGTACTGTGTACTGTATATAGTTTAGTAAGGACTGTTCCAGACCGCTGACAGGAAGGCACAGTCGAAGGACGAGACACAAACTGTGTTCCAAACTTTAATTTATTTTCCTAAGCAGACATACATAGGTATCATTAGTCATAGAATAAGTAACATGATTGACAATGACCAAAATCGTAGTATTAGCAACAAGTCCTTGTATAATCTAGCATTAGTATACAATATATCTTGTAGAATATATCCAATAAATCCTCTCACTGCCATCAGTCGAATAAATCTTGTCCGTTATCTCAGTTGTCCCACATCACATAACATCACCACATAAGGTCATTCAGCCGTAAACTGAACACCTTGACCGACTGTGTAACAAGCTTATGTCGAATCACGTAATATTTACCTATATCATGCTTAAATAAACAGTAGGAAATTGATGACTACAAAACCACTTCGATTATAGAATTTTTGCTTTAAGAATGAAAAGCATACCCTTGTCTCTAATTGTCATTTTATTTGATGTTAAATCTCATGTTTATTCAAACAACCCAGTTATGCAAAAACAGTTGGAAACATTCACAAAAACATAATTTTCTATTCCAACAATAAAACACAAAGATTTACTGTAATTGTCTTCCAAAACATTAAGTTCAAACTTAAACAAAAGAGCTCTAATTGTTTAGCCAAGTGACTGATTCCAGTCTCTAGATAAACAAGCGAATTTGGTTTTCCAAAACATCAGTTGCAGATCCCTAGTTCCAATTTGCTTTTAGTGCGATTTTCGGACCAGCGCCAGCGGCCCGAATTCCTTCACGGTGCATCGCACATTTAGGTGCCTGGCCAGACTGCAAGACCAACTAAACTTTAAGAAACTATTCACTTCAATTTAGGCTAACTTTGTCAGATGAGATAACTTCACAATTCTAGCCAAATTACGTCTGAGGCTGGTAGAAGTAATTTAAAATGAATTTAGAAATTACTATCAGGATTGTATAGTGATTCTATACTGTTCTCTACATCATAATTCAATTTGAAATTCGAATCCTAAGTGAATGACAATAATAAGTAACATGGAAAGCTTAATATAGACGTAGACGCTAAAGAACAAAGGCGGCATAACATTGTTGTTAGTCATTTTGGAGAAAGAAAATATGTTTCAGAACTCATAATGAAGTCAGACCATGAGCCATAAGCCGGCGGGGTTGAAACTCAAAGGAATTGAAGATTAAAATATTCCACAATAGCGTGGATGGAAAAGTGTTACATTTTAGCAGTACAATATCGTGTGTTAGTTATGCATAAGCTCGTACAAATTCAAACAGTAACGCAAAAGCAAACAATACGAAAACATTCAAAATTCACGAACCATGACATACAAAATACAAACTAACCAATATGGTACCATTTGGTCTGCTAAGCGTCGCGTTGTTTAACATACAATGGTGGCCGCAGAATTATGTATGTCGTGTATGTTCGCGTGACGTCATTGTGTTAGCCGATAGCATAGTTGGACAAACAGATCCGGCCGCGTTATGGGGTCAGGAGATAGCAGAGAGAGCAGATTTTCAAATTTTCTAAATTTAGGAATTTTATTTTCAGGATTGAGAAGAATTGCAGATATGGCAGCGATGTAGCATTAACTAGACTTGTGTAATGTTATTAAACTCAATTCATATAATCTAGAATTTTATCTCATGTGCTCCTATTTGAGATCGTAAAGTAAACTTATTTCACACGAATAATCATAAAATATATTACTTGAAGTTACTCCAGATGGTGTAAAAAGTCAATTTTTTTATTGAACTGCCAGCGCAGTGGATAAGCGACGGGTCGACCCCATTCTGACGATATACTTGTTAGAAATTTAATAATAAAACAAATTTTCCTTTGGTTAAACATGGCGTTATGGACACCAAATCATTTAATCGTATGTCTTATTCAGTTTTGGGAATATATCCTTACAACATTAACTAAATTGATGGTTTATGTCCTTAAGTTGTTTCTGGATTTCCAATCTCTAGCTAAACCCGCTTATGGCTTCCGAATCCATTTCAATTATACAAATTACATAAGACAAATTCAAAAAACAAACAGACATTTTCAAATAATTGAAAGGCTTTACGAAAGGACCCATAAAACAGCAAACTATATGCCATTTAATTTGCTAACTGTCCAAATCAGAATTTCTGAAGTTTTAATCATAAAATGGAAACTTCCATTGCTTTGAACATTATGTTTATAAGCTTGAAAACGGTGCATTTACGAGAAGAAATTTAGTTTTGGCAATAGTTTTATGATCTGCATTTAAAGTACGGTCTAAATTGGTTTTATAATATTTGTGAATAAATGTCAATTTTATTTCTTTCTTGTACTTCCTTTCTTGACTAACATTTTACACACACACACAGCAACTATCACCCGTTCGTCATGTTGGTTTACTTCCACAGGACATTTTTTTAAATATTTCGGACTGCAAGTAGTAGCTACTTTAAGTCAAATTAGATTACATTTCAAATCAACATTATTTATCAGACAGAAGTGTTCTTGTCTTCATACATAACCAACCAAATACATCTACCAAATTCGACACGTACACTAAAAGCAAACATCCACAATTCCCATAGCTTATAAGGACCCATTTCCAAATTCCCTCCATGATATATCATATCCTTATGCGCCGGATCCCTGATTGTGCAAGAGAGAAATCCTCGAGGTGTCACTCGAGATTTATCGATGACAAATTATAATGGCTGCTAACACACATCACTTACAAGGATCAAGATACTTGAATGGGCCGATTTAATATATCAATATCTTTGCTTATATTGGTCCTGTGTTACGGATCGAAGGACGTAAAATAATATTTATGAATAGGAAGACAAAATGGAAGACAATAACATATAAAGATGATTTCAAGGATCCATTCTAGCGATGGCGACCTTGAAGTCCAAAGCAAAGCTTTCTAGCGTATCTAAACTATGAAATCATTACGAAGTCTGAAGTTTGTTTAAGGAACACGAAACTATCGTACTTCAAGTTCAACTACAAAGAAGATAAGACAGCTGCAGACTAGTTATTTGGAAGTTTTTATAGCATTTAAACTATCTAGCGTATTTGTTAATTATAATTCGTGTCTGAAGATACTAATTGCTTCCTTACAAATAAAACAGCCTTTGAAAACAGACGTCATTGGGAGCCATTATTTCTATTTCCACAACGTTGCCCCGTATACCGTATAGTTCCGAATATCTGTCGCATTTCGCGCCAAACGGCCCGAACATCACGATGTTTTTACGTTCTTACGGAGCCCGGTATGACGTCATCGTCAGTAAGTAGGTAGTGGGTTCTAGTATAGTATTAGCAGAAGGTCTATTTTCTTCGGGATTATTGGCTTCGAAACAAATTGGCATCTAAGTTTACTTTGAACACGAACACCCCGTGTTCGTTCCTATTTAAAAATCGGTTTGTTGATCAATTTTTGTGACACATCTGGAAAAGTTCACTATCAGAATAACAAAAAGCTATATTTATGAAAATATTATTACAATACCCCCACTCCAAGTCCATATAAAGTATTTTGTCTTCAATCGTCTCTTATTTAACTCCTTATTTTGTTTGGTCCTTATTCCCACAATTGAGTAAAAAGTGGTCCTTCTGTCCTATGTCCTATCTTTACCAAGAAACATCAGCACAGCTACTAGGTATGAATATTTTTATTGGGCAATTTGTACAATTTCGTTATTTCTGCCCTGCTGTAGGAAAACAGGTGTGCTGCTAACTTTTACTTCTTTTATGCTCTTGTTAGAATGGTTCATTGAATCATGTCGTCCACAATCAGTAGCTTATTGTGTTCCGCATTTTCATATTTAGCTGTGTGCATCTTCGGTTTTTCGTATTTATTTATATTGCATTTTTGTTTTACTTCTATGCCAATTACATTATTATTTCCACTGATTGTTTTATTAATATTCATAAAACAATTTTTCTTGATTTATTTAGCTGATTTTTATATACATTAGTAAATTATTTAATTATTTTTTTTAATTAATAAAAAATTCAGTTAATTGTTATATGTTATATTTATAATTTACTTCAACAGTTAAGTACTAAATAAATGTTGATATTAACGCCAATGAAAATCGTATTAAAAGTATGAAAATTGTAGATGA